CTCAGAAGGCCACAACAGACATGATCCTTTTCACAAAGAATTTCTTCAAATTCCTGGGCTCATTATCAATGAGCAGAAGTCTACCTTATGCCCGACCCAATCTCTAGAGTTCATAGGAGCATGTCTCAACTCTATCACAGCTCGCGCATATTTACCAAAGCAATGATTCCAAACAATAAAGAGTTTGATTTCAACCATGGAACTGAGCCCCGCAGTTTCTATACTCACATGCCTATAGCTCATGAGGCAGCTACAATCTATGTAATGAGGCACGCTCATCTACATTTCAGGTGATTCCAACACTGGCTTGCTTCAGTTTACTCCTCATCTAATCATCGAGTGCACAGGGGTGTTTCAGTTCCCCCTATTGTCCTCTTGTTGTTACGATGGTGGACCAACCTAGGGAACCTCCTTGCTGGTGTACCATTTCATCAGGAGCAGCCCTCCAACCATATCACCATGGATACCTCCCTCCTATATAGCACTGGAATGGAATTTTGTAACTAATAAGTCAGTTATAATAAATGTATGTTATAGCAAAAGGATTGGATTAAACTTAAATACAGGATGTAGGCCTCACACAGGACCAGGCTCCAGCTCTGTTTTGATGTTAGCATGTTGAAGAGAAGGGATGGAATATTGTAATATATAATGATGTTAGTGTTAGTAAGGTCTTATAGTAGATAAAAAGAAGTTTAATGTTGAAAGACTTTGTAACTTTGTTGAAGTGTCTTAGAAGTACCCCTTTCTTCCATGCTGCAATTCCGTAAATATATTGTTTGTGTGAATAAGAGAGAGAATGTTTTAGGAGAGATAAGTGTGAAGGTTACTGCATGCCCAAATGGTCAGAGGAAAGGCTGAGGACTCAGAAGCACCAAATAATTATCAACTAAGTGAAAGAACTCAGAAAACACAGACTACCTGGTCAGACTGATGAACCCTGAAGCTAGAGTCAAGCAGCCCTTGATAGAGAACCAATCACAAATTTCACCGGAAACACAACACCCCCAAGGGGTTGTGAGCATACTGATATCAGATGACTGTGAGAACAACTTCTTCCCAACAAACACGTCATAGGAAGATTGATTGTGATGCTGAATGACTGACGAAGGCCTGACGAGGCAAAATGCATAGACTTGCATGGAAGGAATATCCTATAAAAGATGGGGTATCTTGTATGGTTCTTCGGGATCTGTCCTGCTAAGATCAAGACCAGGAGGGACATCTGTCCAGACTGACATGAACCCAGCTCTTACCTCACACCTGACCTATCTGGCCAGTAGGTTGGGCCGAGCAACAGACTGGTAACTATTCCATCAGCAGGATAGATGTGTGTGTGTGTGTGTGTGTGTGTGTGTGTGTATGTGTGTGTGTGAGAGAGAGAGAGAGAATGCATATGCTACTTTGTTCTATTGTCAATAAAGGTGGCGTGTTGCCTTATCCCCCTCAAAAAGATCCCGTGTGCATCTCATAAGCATAACATCTAGGCTGGAGAGCCTATTTTCAACACCATGTCACACAGGGCAGATGGTCCACCCACAAGTCAAAGCTCCGCATCAACCTATTGGAGCTCTGACCTTTACACAACGCTTGCAAACAATTTTGTCAACAGTCTAGGATTCCACAGTGCACATCCTTACAGAGAGTGTCACAATAATGTATTACATCAACCGCCAAGGGGGTACATGTTCCCACTCCCTTTGTGAGGAAACTGTATGCCTGTGGAATTGGTGTATCCAAAACAATATTACCATCTTTTCATCTTACCTACCTGGCATCAAGAACGTTATTGCGGACACACTTGGCCACAATTTTGCAATAGAGCACGAGTGGGAAATCCATACCGCTGTCCTCCGTGACATTTTCCACTGATGGGGATGGCCGCTTATAGACTTTATGACAGAACACAATACCAAATGCCATTGCTACTGTTTCAGTGCGGGCATGGGGCCCAGATTATTGGGGAAGCTTTCCTCATACCATGGGATACTCACCTCCTTTATGCGTTTCCTCCTATCCCACTCATTCCCAGAATACTAGATAGGGTCAGATTATGCCCTAGTCATTCTTATAGCCCCCACCTGGCCCAGGAAGATTTAGTTTCCCTATCTCTAACAAATGTCTCACAGCCCTCCATACCCACTTCTAAACTATCCAGATCTCTCAAAGCACATGGGAACCCTCTGCCATCCGCAACCTCAGACACTGCATTTGAGGGCATGGATTCTTGCTGGTTCTTGGAGGCGGAATGGAAATATTTGCAACAAGTAAAGGACGTTTTACTCCACAGTAGACTCAGTCCATTCATGATACTTACCTCCGTAAGTGGAAACAATTTATAGCTTGTTGTAAAACAAAGGGCATCCAACCCTTATCCGCTCCTCTTCACATAATTCTGGATTACATCATGTCCCTGCAACAACAAGGTCTGTCCGTTTCGTCTCTAAGAGTGCACCTAGCTTCCCTTGCAGCGTTTCACCCACCCATAGAGGGCTTCTCTATATTTGTTCACCCTATCTCAAGAAGATTCCTCAAGGGATTACATAATCTTAATCCACCCCATACACCAATTCCCCCCACATGGAATCTGGAATTGGTACTGCATGTATTATCCAGACCATCATTCGGGTTTATGGCTAAGTGCTTACTCCAATTATTAACCTTAAAGACTATCTTCCTACTGGCCATCACATCAGCAAGACATGTTAGCAAGAGTGTGGAATATGGTGGAGGGGGGAATGCTGTTAGAACACCAAAGATAGGGTATGTCTACACTACATGGCTCCATTGATGGAGCCATGTAGATGAGCTTTGTAGACATAGCAAAATGAAGCGGCGATTTAAATAATCCCCGCTTCATTTATATCAAAATGGCTGCCGCACTGTGCCAATCAGCTGTTTGTCGGCACAGCGCGGTAGTCTGGACGCTCAGTGGTCGACATCAAAAGTCTTTGTCGACCGCCCCATTATGCCTCGTGGGATGAGGTTTACTGGGGCGGTCGACAAAGGCGTTACTGCACAAGGTGAATAATTTCCTTTTCTTCCTTGAATGATGGATCAACATCCATGACATATCTTTGCAACGTTCCACTCACAGATATTTGTCATGTGGCCACTTGGTCATCCAAGGATACCTTCACTAAGCATTATGCGATCTTACCTCAACCATTGCCTGATATACCTCATTAGCCACAGAAGTTCTGTCCTTGGCCACCAAGTGGTGACTCTGAAGCCTACCATCCAGACCAGTCACTGCTTGTAGTCACCAACAGTGGAGCACCCATGGGAACATCACTCAAAGAAGAAAAGGAAATGACTCACCTTGTGCAATAACAACACAAGATGTGTGTCCCCCATGGGTGCTCCATGAGCCACTCTCCTCCCCTCTACTTTGGAGTACCTATTTACTCGGGTGTAGATGAGGAACTGAGGGGGGTCAGGCCACATGTGCAAGGTGATAAAGCCCAAATGCTACTAGGTGCCTAGAGTGCATATGAGGCCCAACCGACTACCACAATTTAAAACTCCGATCTGCGGCACCAGGGATGACCCGACGCCAATGGTGGAGCACTCACAGGGATACATATCTTGTTACTACACAAGGTAAGTAATTTCCTTTTATTCACTTTCTCCATACCGGTCATGATTATATAGATCCCTATATCATATCTCCTTTAGTCTCTGCTTTTCTAAAATTAAAAGTCCCAGTCTTTTTAATCTCTTTTCATGTGGTACCTATTTCAAACACCTAATCGTTTTTGTTGCCCTTTTCTGAACCTTTTCCAGTGCCAATCTTTGAAATCCAAGGACATAGCATAATTTGAACTAATGTATCTGGAGATGGTTCAATCGAAGAACAAAAGTCTTCAATTTTTTTCTACCTTTGTTGGAAGGATAGATATTTATCATCTCCTGGTATAATCCGGGGTCCTTTTATTCAGATTTTATTTGTCACAGAATTTTGATTATGCTTCAGCCTCCCTGGGACAGGCAGCACTGGTTTATCAATCAGCACAGCTTTTACTGAAGGCATTTTTAATTGATTGCTGCCTTGTTGAGGCTGATGAGTGCGATTCCTTTCAAAAGGTTGGTGGCTACATTAAAGTGTTTTTTGGGACTTCCTTAATCACCATTACTGTTTCAGACTGATTGTAGGTATTAAAAAGTAAAAAAATAAACATTTATTCAAAATATAACAGTCATCTTAAAAATCCCAAATGAATGGTAAAATTATTTGATATGAACTTTTCCAAAGCAATTAAAACTTTACTTTTAAATGTGTCCTTGAGAACAATTTTTAAGTCAACAAATTAATATTTAAAAGACTATTCAATAAAATCTTAAGGCAAGTTAACTTTTCAAACCACAATTTTAAAAATGATGTATGCAGCATTTTATTGTTACTTTCATTCTAAGAGATTTATAGAATTTCCAAAATGTTTTGTTGTATTATATACATACTTATAAGAAACAAGAGTACAGTATTTGCAATCTTACCCATTAAACAATATTTAACTAACGTTTTAGTGTAACAACTATTTTTTAAATAGCATATCACAATATTTTAAATTCCCATTGTGTATATAGCATACATTTAGGTTGTTCATACAAAGCTTTCAGAAGGAAATAGAATTAGATTTTTTTTTTTGGTTTTATGCATAAAGTAATGTACACCTTTTGTTTGTGTGTGAGATAACAATTTAAAACATAAATAATAAGAGATATGCTGAACAGTTCTTAACTAATTCAGAAAGCCAAAAATTTAGGATTCTTTATATATCATAAGAGGCACAGACTTTTCTCATATTCCTCTCACTTTAGTTCATCAGATCAGTTCACACCAGACACTAGGTGCTTGAGTCTTCATACAAGCAGAGGTGAGAACTGCTAAACTGAAAGAAAATCTAAGTGAAAGGGAAAAGCTATTCTAAGAGCTTTCACATGGTTCCTGTTGCTAGGGAAACCAGTTTCTTTGTCTGCATGTGGTAAGAATCAGAGTATTTGCATCATCTGAAGTCGGACTCTCAGACAAAGCATATTACATCATGTTAATATGTAAACGTGTTGCTTAAAATTAACTTTACAAGGAAATATACTAAAATGTAACTTAAAAATAGTTCTCTGTTTTCTTATTTTGGGCAAATTTGGAGACTAGAGCTATAGTCTAGCTTATTCTTTTTAGAAAGGATAAGAATACTGAAGAATCTCTGTCTGGCTTGCAAGTTGGAGAAATGTTTTTATTTTTATTGTTTATTCTTTTTATTTGTATTTCAATAGATTGGTCAATTCTTTTTAATTCCTCACCATTAGGTCTGATCCTGAAAAGTGCTGAACATCTTGTATGAGGCTAATCTCTTTGAACCTCTCTGATGCCAATGGAAGTGAAAGACAGCAGCGAGCCTTCAACACCAAGACTGGGACCTAGATAAGTCAAGATCACACTTAGTGGGATTTATCCCCTCTCTCTGTCCTAGCATTTAGACCACATTTTCCAACCATCTGCATCTCCAATTAATTTCAATCTCATAATCTGTCTCAATGTATGTAAAAGGAAATTAAAACGCAACATACTTAGTTAGGCGATGCTCATACTAAAGAGATGGGCATGAGTCTAAAACCATATGTTAGACTGAAATTCATAAAAATTGTCCTTAATTTCCTGAGAAATTTAAGACCCGTTAAAGGTTCAGAGAAGACTTGATTACAATCAAAATACCTACTGGCAGAACAACAATTTAATCATGGACTCTTCACTTTATCAAAAAAAGATATAACATGATCCAGTGTCTGGAAGCTGAAGCTAGACAAATTCAGTTTGGATGTAGGTATTTAACAATTAGAGTAATTAGGCATTAGAGCAATTCACCAAGGGTTATGATGGAGTTTCTGTCTGTCACAATTTGTAAATCAAGATTGGATGTTTTTATAGAAGATATGTTCTAGGAATTATCTTGAGGGAAATTCTATGGTCTGTATTATACATGAGATCAAATTAAATGATCAGAAAGGTCCCCTCTGGCTCTGGAATTCATTAATCTATGAATTGTACATGCATTCGAATGCAGATCAGCAGTACATAAAGCATCAGTACTATGAGAAAAAATAAAGAAAGGCATATCTGAAAAGCATGGTAAAATACATAGAATGCTACTGACTTAGAAGCTTTCATTTACAGTATTTTAGATCACCAGCTAACAGGCTCCACAATTTAATAAAACAGATTGACTCAAACGAGGCTTAAAATTACAAAGATACAGAAACATGGGAAAAGAAAACAAACTTCCAAATATATTTAAAAATACAGATGTCTTTGTTTTTTTCATTGGCAATCCTTACACTTTTGTATTTGGACATTTTATTTTCAAGAAACATCTGTCTAATTTGAGCCTGTCATGCTGTGATTGTGATTAATTAGAGATGTTACAAAAAGCAAAATTACTTATGCAAGGAAATCCTATGGATTTAGAATCCCATGATCAAATGGCAGATGAAGCAATGCACTACAACCAGAGACTAATAATAATCATTTGCACTTCTGTAGGAACTTTCATCAAGGATCTCAAAGCACTCCGCAAACATTAATTAATTCTATTTGTCAGAAAGGTGCTATAATAAGAATTCATTGTCACTTCTGTAATGGAAAATGACCCCTGTTCAAAAGCATACAGCAACCCTAAGGGTACGTCTACTCAGCAGCATTATTCCGGAATAACTCACGTTATTCCAAAATAACAAAGAGCCTATCTACTCTGCAAGCCATTATTTCAAAATAATGGCAAGCTGGAGGACTTCTTACTCCAACTCCTATAAGCCTCATTTCATGAGGAGAAAGGGAAGTCAAAGGAAGAGTGTTCTTCCTTTGACTTCCTGCTGTGTAGACAGTGCCAAATACGGAATTAAGCTATTTCAACTTAAGCCTCGCAATTGACGTAGCTCAAATAATGTAGCTTAATTCTACTTTAGCCCTGCTGTGTGGACGTACCCTATATGACTGCTTAGCGTAGTAAAGTAAGGATAGAAACAAGTTGAGACTGCAGGAGGACTTAAGTAGCCAGCATCTAATTAGCAACATTGAGTTTGTCCAGGATATTGTATTTAACATCTCCAGTGCTAGAGAAACTGCCATGGAATCTCTATGGTAACAAGTGATCACATAGGAATTTTTTATCCACAAGGGAGCACTGTGTTCTGCTTTACATCTCATCCAAGTGAACTTTGAGCTAAATTCTCCTTCCACTTTACACAAAGTATAAATCCAATATAAATCCATTGTCAGTTCTTGTCTCTGAGTAGAACTACTGCAGATTTACACTCCTGACAAGCACCAGAATTTGGTCTCCCATATCTCTGATATTATACCATGGGATTGACCAAGGGCAAACAACACCTACTGCATCTCCAACATCACTTCCTACAGCAGTGGTCTCCAACCTTTTTAAGCATGAGATCACTTTTTTAATTTAAGTGCAATCCAGGATCTACCTCAAACCCAAATCGCCCTGCCCCGCCTCCTTCCTGTCCCTCTTTTGAGGCCCCGCCCTGCTCACTCCATCCTCCCTTCCCTAACCTTACTCACTTTTATTAGGCTGGGGGCAGAAATTTGGAGTGTAGGAGGGGCTCAGGACTGGGGTCGGAGCTTGGAATGCAGGCTCCAGCTGAGCACCACTTACCACAGGTCGCTTCTGAGTGGTGGTGCAGGGGGCTAAGGCAGGCTCACCCCTGCCCTTGCCCTGCACCACTCCTAAAAGCAACCAGCAAACTCTCTCCATCCCTGCCTCCCTCTGGTCTGTGGAGATGGGGTACAGGGTGGAGGAAGGGGCACCCTGAGATCAGTGCCCCCCTTTCTCTTCTTTCTATATCCTGCACAGCAAACAGGAGGCTCCCATGGATAGGGGGCAGTTCCAAAGCAGAGGGCAGGAGCAGCACAGCAGTGCTGAGAGGGGCAGCTGAAGTGAAGCTACTTGATAGTCTCCCAGCCAAATCTCTCAGGATCATCTGTCAAAGGCTCCAAGATCTACTGGTAGATCCCGATCTGCTGGTTGGTGACCACTGTCCTACAGTCTCTACAGCAGTCATATTATGAAGGCACCTACTCACAGTGGTATATATAAACTGCAGCTATTCCTTATTCTAAATACAGGGAGGTAACCACTTCAAAGAAGCTGTGGGCAAATGTTGACTGAAATGGTGACCACTGCAAGTGCTATTCTGAGGTGTCTCATTCATTTAAGCTCCTACTTAACTTCTGAACGATTATGGGCTATCAGCCGAAGTGTGAGATGGGTTACCTAGATTGGCATATACCAATCTTATTCCTTCCCAGATGCATGCACAATTAAATACTCTTATTGGAAGTCCAATTCAAGTAATGTATATTTTGTGTATATACACTACCTATATAGCCATATTACACTATACATATATACCTATATAGCCATATTACACTCAATAAATAAATACTGGTCAATACCTCTATGTGTTCTTCAAGGAACTGGCTCACAAAAATGCACAGTATTTTCCCCATTTGAATTATCATCATGCCCTTGAAAGCAAATGTTGTCATCTCTAATAACTACAAGAGACATGCACAAATTTAAAAATGTGGCAGAATGAAAAGGAAAAGAAGGACTCTCTTATCAATGGGGCAATATTCAAACCATAATTATATAAAAGCCAATGTAAGCTGGTTTTTGTTACACTCTCTTATATATAATTGCAATAAACTGCACTTATCTAACAAAGAGCACTGACTCAGAATCACCTTTGCTGCATCCTAGCAAAACCCACTGAACTTCAACAATATCTAGTGTTTAGTAAAGGGATTTTGCATGTCATTATTAAATACTTTTCACCGTACTGTTTTGAATGGAAATATTTTGCTATTAAACATTTCCTTTTCAGTTTTCTTCGTAAATCATATACTGATGTTATCTACTATATCTGAATTCCTTTTTTATTGTCTACATAGAAAACTTATGAGGAAAGCAGAAAGGAGAGTCAAAGGGACAAAACCAAGGGAGAACATAGACTTACAAAAGTAGAAGAAGAACTCATGGACAGATGGACGGACACTCAGACAGACAGGTGCACAAACTTTCCAAAATATATAATTGGTAATGAACTGTAGGGGCTCACCCAGGATAAGGTAGAGCCATGACCAGAGAAACAGAAGTGGAGAAATTTATGCTAGTACTGTCCAAGCTTGTTTCAGGGCTTAATAAAGGACTACTTACCATATCTAGTACGGCTGCCCGTTATTCTTTCTGTTCAGAAAAATGCAGTATCTCTTTGAGCTCTCCTCCCATCCCCATTCATGACAACGCCACTTAATTCTGTATGATTCTATTCAACATAGTCAGCAGTCTCAGCTCGGGAGAGGCCTAGGATGAAGATAGCAGGGATGCTGCAGATCATGACTGACGGTGTGAGCAGAGCTGTAGAGAAAAGCTTGCATTGCCACATACTGCCCACCTTGAGCTAGTGCTGCATGTTCTTCTTTGCACTTTGACAAACACAAAATTCATTTAAAGTTTTTTCCAGAGAGCCATTTTGACTTGGAGAAGCCTATGATAATTATATTCTTTGCTCTTAACACCTTCCATCTAAGCTTCTCAAGCATTAGTTGGCTAAGCTGCAAACTAAACTGAGGGGATGCTGATACTTTTAGCTAGAGGGATGATCCCCAACTGGAGAACACTATCCAGACTTTCTTTCATCAAGCTAAAATAAGAATGTGGATATATCAGTGCAAGAAGCAAAAGGAGGGACTGTTTGGCCCATCAGAAGCATACCTAGGGTCTCAGATGGGCATGTACTCTGGGCAGCTACATTCTATTTTCAGCATGCTAGTGGCAAAAGAACTAATGTATTTCTCCTCAAGTGAGGAATCACACCCCCAGCTAAAAGTGTAGAGGTACTCAGAGTTGGGTACTGTCAGCACCACTTTGCAAATGGGGAAATTTAAGCACATCAAGGCTAAATGACTTATTATAGATCACACACAAATTCTGTAGCATAACTAGAGAAAGAGACAACATCTCCTGACTACCAGTCCCACACAAGTCTTAACCATAATTGCACACTTCCCCCTACATTAAAAAACATGTTAGATTATGTAGTGTACTAGATGAGGGCTAAAATCACACAGGAAGCCCAGAATCTCAATCTTCTATTTTCATACTAGCTCCTTGTCCTGTATAATAAACAATAAGGGTATGTCTATACTAGCCCCCTAGATCGATCTAGGGAGGCTAATGAGGGTGACCAAAATTGCAAATGAAGCACGGGATTCAAATATCCCACGCTTGATTTGCATGTTCCCGGCCGGTCGCCATTTGAGAAATTGACTAGCCTGTGAAACAGGATTCCAAAATAAAGCCCTAACTCAAATTAGCTGGCATTCCTTCTGCAATGAGGTTTACCAGCTAATTCGAGTTAGGGCTTTATTTCGGAATCCTGTTTCACTGCCGCGTGTAGACGTGGGCAGTTTCTTCGGGCTAGTCAATTTCTAAAATGGCAACCGGCCGGGAACATGCAAATCAAGTGCGGGATATTTAAATCCTGCGCTTCATTTGCAATTTTGGTCGCCCTTATTAGCCTCCCTAGATCGATCTAGGGGGCTAATGTAGACATACCCTAAGAGATCAAAAGAAGGGAAGTAGCTACAACAAAGAAAATTAAGTGCTAAACCAGAGCAAGAAGTTATTAGGTAACTGGAAGAAGGAAAGAAAATGATGGCTCATCAGCATTATTTCTTGATGTTTCAACAAAAGAAGCAGACCTGTTGTAAACTAAATAAGAGCCCACTTTTTCTTCCTCATTGGTAATCAAGATTGTCAGACTAAAACTAGATTAGAGAATGAAGATTTTGCAATTTCTAAAGCCCTTTACAAATCAGAGCATTAAGTAACAGGAATCATACATTTATATACAAACACAATTATTATTCTTTCCTACTTCACATAAATCAATTTTAGAATGTGTTATGGAGAAGGAACTTGACATTACACACCATTCAGCTGTCTTGAGAACTCTGAAAACTGTCAACTGAGCAAACTACCTGAGGGATCACCTTTCCTTCATTTCAAAGCATGATTTCCCTAATTTGACTAATGCTGAGAGAGAGATTTTGCTTCCCTTTCCCTTTGGCAAGGCAAACAGTGGAACAGAATTGTGTAAACAAACTCTCCACAATCAAACATATGGAATCTTATCTGTAATTTGTGTTTGGGAGGAAAAGTTGTTTAAATTATATACATAAATCACACTATATACATAAATTTTATCTATGGATCTTTGACAGTGACAATCCATAGAAGCTAATATTCTTTACCATGTGCAACCTATGAAACCTGGCCCTCACAACCTTTGTCATGAGAACAGAATAATTGCTGTGCTGTTTTTGTTCTTGGCACATTCCTTTAACTAAATCATAATAGCTACATTTCCTTTCTAGTTAATGTGAATTTACTGCTGATGAAAGGTACCAGATTAGCAGCTCTGGAAACTCAAGTCTGTTATTTATCCAGAGAACAAGCACAATATATGTAATCGGAGTGCAAATTACCACCCCACCAAAGTGTTTCAAAACTGACATGCCGGAGGTACTTCCACAGGCAAATATGTAGTTCAGCTTCCATACCTGTTTGGGCATAGTCCTCTCTAATGAATTTGCCCACAGTGGTGCCAATTGGATCCAATGGAAAAATTGGAGGAAAAAACATTTTAATTAAAATTTCACCTGATTTTGTGTCAAAATTTCAACAAAACCATTTCAATGTAATTTAGAATTTTGAAAACTTCCAACCCGCTTTAAATGCCAGTTGTAATGGCCAGAGGTCACTTTTGATATGATATAATGACACTTATTAGTGAAATTTTAACCTCACATCTAGTCTGAGAAATTTGGCATTTTTCATTTGACACTTTCAAAAGATGATAAAAGAAAACTTTTTTTCATTATTTTCTTCCTCACCCTCCAAACATTCAAATTTTGCCCAGGTTTATGAGTGGTCAAAGGAAATGGGAAAATTTCAAAAAAAAAATCAGCAAAATTTTTCCTTTTTATGTTTTAAATTGTGAATGTTCAAAATTGCAAAATTTAAAGAACGTTGCTTATCTGTTGTTTCTAGTATTCCATCTTTTAACTTGCCCCACAAAACAGAGTCTGTACAATCCAATTCTGATTGTAGGTATTGTCAAAACAGCCAGCTGTTTGCAAGAGACATGAAAATAAATAGAAGTATCCTCTATTATCTCATATTTATAGTTCCCGTTAAGGTACAATAGGATACAGCTTTTGCTAGTTCCGTTTTATTTTAGTTCATGGCAAATTACTAACTTTGTAAGATGAAAATAGTAACTAAGAGGAGTTTTATTGTGTGACGTGTAGGATTGTGCCTGTTTTAACTAAATCTCTTCTTTGACTCTTCTTTTCCAGGCAAGTTTAAGATGGTTTAACTTGTATTCATGACATAAAATAAATGCAACATCCTATTCTAGTACAATGTTAAAGATATACTGAAAAGTCACTGAGGCCACAAGCTTGCAATTGGATTCACGTGGGTAAAAGGGTCCACGTATCATGGATACAAATGAAGGCTCAGGGGCTGTGTCAGTTATTTTGAAATAACTACTCCCCAGAGTCATTCACAGTAATTACTCCCCAGTGCTTCCTGGGGCTCTAAGTCGAGGTAACGCATCTACATTAATGGAGCCTGCCTTGGACTAATTTAAAGGCTTCCCTATAGCGTGGACATGCTATTTTGAAATAGTTATTTCAGGAGTTATTTTGAATAATTTTCTAGTGTAGACATGCCCTGTGATACACTCTACAATGACATTCTGCATTGGATAAGGCAAATGCAAGGTATATACTATGAACGCAACATGAAGTGTCTGAAATAAAGCATGTCATATCCAAAACAAAGAGCAACGTTCTGCCATTGCAGGACAATCCAGAGTCTTCAAACAATGCTACTGGCAAACTGTTCCTATGTGCAACCAACTTCCAGATTCATAGTTGAATGTAACAAATATGGATGCTAAGGAGATTTCAGAATTATACTAGACAGGGCACTATTATATGTGTTGTAGAATCTTTATCTGCCAAACATACAACCAGGTCAATATCTCCTCTTGATTGCGGACAATCATGTTGCATCATTGTTAGCAAAAGGAGAATTTGGCTCAGGTCAAGATAGCAAATAGTAAAACACTTAAAGGCCATAACATTTTAAAGTACTGTAGCAACAACAATGGTTAAGTAGTTTATGAGTCAGCCTTAAAATATATTATTGATTACATATGAAAAGTGTTTATTTATAAAATCTTAAATCCCTCTTTTTCTTTTAATATGCTAGCTGGCTCACTTTCACTACCTATGGCCAAATTCATAGCTGATGTATTAGGTGATATGAGATAGACTCCTTCACACTTAGGTTGCCTCTAAGATCCCTTAGGCTTGCTTATACTCACTCACCAATGAATAAGGATGACAACACTTGTGCAGTGTACATGCTGAGAGGCCAAGAGAAGTGGCAGCCTACTTTAACTTATCCCTTCCTGTTAGTTGTTTTTCTTTGCCTCACTTTTTTCTTTCCACACTTCTGCATATGAGTTCCAGTAACACAAACTCTCTTAAACACGTTTAAGGGTTCACTTAAATGGATTCAAGACTTGGTCAGATTCAGAGGTAATGTGGAAAAGGTGGGGTAAGTTACATTATGGTAAGTGTGTTTGAGCATAAGTGAATCAAATGGAAACTAAGTTTGAAGGAAGCTAAATTTGTGTAAAGTACTCATGGGATAGAGTAGGAATGTTAAATATTGGTTAATTGAATAGTTGGTTAACCTCATGAATTCTTATTGGTTACTCGACTATTCTATAGTCCCCTGCTCAGGCATGTAACGAGGGTCATAATAGTGCCTACAAGACTATTGACAGGAGAAATTAGAAGCCTTCTTAAACCACATAGGGTATGTCTACACTACAGCACTAATCTGAACTAACTTAATTCGAATTAGTTAATTCGAACTAAGCTAATTCGAATTAGTGCATCTAGACCTAAAAACTAATTCAAATTAGCGTTTTGCTAATTCGAACTAGCATGTCCACATTGAGTGGACCCTGAACCGAAGTTAAGGCTGGCCAGAACCAGGACTTAGAATGTGGAGCTGCTGCCTCAGGTCTAGCCAAAGACTG